TTGGTCGATCCAAAATTTACTGATTGATATATGAATATATCATGTCAACATTAATTATATAGTTCAACTAATAATAAAATTTCATATATATTTTATTATTCTAAATGTAATATAGAATTAATCGAGCCAATAACAAGAAAAAAATTTTCGAAACCAAACTCAAATTTATGACGAATGTAAGAATTAATACAACATTTCAATGCACGTATAGTATTTCAGAACACAATTCTCAATCGAAATGGATAACTTTTTTTAAATCGGTTTTAATCGCATTTTTTTCAACTAACGGTCACCCATCCAAGCCACGACTGCCATCAACGCTGCTTGACTTCTGTGATTGAGAACTGCAAACACTTCGGAATGATCCATGATTACTCGATATTAATAAATACATATCCGTGATAGATCAAATCAATAAAGTTATCAAAAAGATGAAAATATTTTTTTTATAAATGTTAACATATAATACAATAATATGATAGATAGTCGAAATAACGACAGTAAAATACAAATAAGTACAACACAATGTAAAATACTGGATCAAAAGAAGCGATAGCGTTTCATACAAATGTATGCAAAAAAATTAAAACAAATTACTATTATACTGATCACAGACAAAATTGGATTTTGATTGCTTTCAAATTTTAGACATTTCCAATTGTCTACGCACTTATGGAAGGACGTAAAACAGAAAATTATATTGCTGTTTTAACACACGTTCTGAACGTAGTTAAAATAAAACCGGACGCAGTAATATCTGATTTCGAGAAAGCCGAACAGAAAGCGTTAAAAACGATTTTCCCTAACGCTCAAATCATTGGCTGCTTCTTCCATTACAGTCAGGTAATAGAAAATTATATACATATAATAATAAACACGAAATGCACATGAATTTTAATCTTTATGTTGATTTCTGATCACTAAAGGCGTTAGTAGACAATGCTAAAAAATGTGGCATGTTAAAAGAGGACTCGGAAAATAAAAATTCAGAATGGAAAGCATTAAAATTATTCATATGTTTAGCTCTCTTGCCAGAGAAGCTAATAAGAGAAGACTTCAATTTAATTGTAAATATAATTTTTAAAAACTGCGGCTTTCTAAAAC